TGGCGAAGAGCTTCCCACAGGTTCTGAAGTTATGCTTACGTACTATATACTGCATATATATACATGGCACACACATACGCACAAGGAAGTTTCAACCGAATTACTGATGAAAACGTTTACGTGATCTATTGTGCAAACACGCACACAACCCCCTGCCAGGGCTTCTCTTTCGTAAATCTACGGGATGCGATATCCATGTTTCATTACCGTTCATGGGATATGTGAGGCAATAACTGCACACATTTTACCTCATTAACAAAATGTCGCGTGGCACACGAACACATTAATATAATGCTGGAAGTTTTGAGCAAATATGTACCTTATATCACAGTGGTACTATCTTAACTTTTAAACCCTTGCTCCTATACACTGTACCTGAATTTGGGGACAGGATGTGCTTGGGCGTCGCAGAAGAGCGCCATGGCAGTCCTTGCGGCAACAATAAGGGCGTTAATCGTCCCCTTGACCACGGGGAGCTTCGGGGCGGAGCTTCCCATGGGATCTAATGGACGACGTGCACAATCACCATCTCCCTCCCGGTTGTAAAAAACGCGGGAGTTCATAAATGTAGGGACAGGAATCCATTTACCATTTTGCCAGGCAGTTTTGGATGGCCTCCCCGCCCCACCCCATCTCTCCCGCCGCGGGCCTACTATAGCTTATAGGAATATCCGAGTTTGGCGTTACCTGAACGTGGGCGTCGGGTGTGCCTGGGCATCGCAGAAGAGCGCCACGGAAGCCCTGCGAGCCACTTTCACCGCGTTGATCGTACCCTCAACCACACCCATGCGCGGGGCCGAGCTTCCCATGGGATCTAGCAACAGTCAGAAAGGCCGAAACCACATGACTACCGGGGACCTTTACCACACGCCCTGTCCAGATGGAACCCTTGTCTCATCCTAAATGTCTGTCTATGTATCTTGTTTTTCTGCGCCCAGGAAAGTCACATGGCCTGAGCTCTCCGGCATACATAAATGAGAAAACTAAACATTACCAACATAGTAGTAGAGCAGATCTTCATGTTTACCTGTCGCCCTGCATGAACGTCGGACAACACTGCCCATGCTTATTTATCCCCCTCTACATGCTTTAACTTACCATTCCTACAGCCTACCTGAATTTCGGAGTCGGATGAGCCTGGGCGTCGCAGAACAGTGCGTTGGGAGTGTCCGCAGCCACTGTTACGGCGTTTATCGTGCCTTTCGCAACGACTAGTTTGGGCGCTGAGCTTCCCATGGGATCTAACAGAACGCCGAGTGCATGGGGAAATCATCAGCAATTCTTGTCAGTTTGGGATAGGCCTGCCGCCTGTTGGCATTAATCGCTTACGCCGTGACTTGGTAAAAGTGTTCGGCAATAGGAGTTTCTTTGCAAAGAAGGGTCAGCTGTTCTCTGCTATTTATGAAATAGCATGATTTTGTTTTCTACCATAAATATCAAGAGATATCTGAAATTACAACAATTATCGAGTGTGTTTCCGTGTCCAAGTGTAGAATACGAATGAGGTTGTGCTGGAAATCGTTAATACAACCGCCATGGGCTTAACTACCTGTACTTGGGCACGGGGAAGGCCTGGGCGTCGCAGAAGAGGGAGAAACTTGAGCCTCGTTGCGTCACCTCCTTGCTCACGGTGTCTCGGGGTGGCAACTTGGGCGCTGAGCTCCCTACGGGGGCTAATTCACCAAATCACGTGAGCAAAGTATATAATTAGAGCATGAGCCTAGTCGTCAGCACTGCTCGTTACAAGAGAGCCTGAGTGTCATGTTCAGGACATAAAGGCCTTGAAGGTCGAAATTATAGGCCGAAAGAAGAAAATGGAGGGTGTCGTATTCATAGACTGTATAGAGCCTGACTGTCGTATATGCAGAACGAAATATAGACGGGGCCCTAAACAAGATTGCAAGACTGACTGTACCTGTACTGTGGGGGCGGATAAGCCTGGGCGCTGCAAGGTACAGCAAAACTGGAACCCTGAGGCTTAATCTTAGCACTGACGGTGTCCTCCACGGGGATCGACGGAGCCGAACTCCCTACCGGATCTGACACACACCATGAAAAAGGCCAATTACAGTCCAAGCACAATTTCTTAATACGCACTCATCGCGCAATATACAGTACTAAGCATAGGTATCGTTGGGTAAGGATATCCCTTGATCACAGGATCCATGATAATTGTCACTGTCAAGTCTCGTGTTGTGTTTGTACATAGTGGTGATGAAGTAGGCGGAAATTATGAAATAATAATATTCATCGAATTCAGTCATAACGAATCCTTTGTCATCAAAACCAATCTCTGCATCATTTCCTTCATTCCATATTGGGTTCTAAACTCGCCCCAATACTCCCGAAATACAGCTTTCCTCGCTCTCTTGCCCCCGCCCCTTGACTCGAACGTACCTGAAGGTGGGCGTGGGGTGCGCCTGCGCAACACACAGAAGGGCCAAGGAGGTGCCACGGTCCTTTGTCTCCGAGTGAATCTTATCAGTGGACGGCAGTCGTGGGCCCGAGCTCCCCATAGGCTCTTTTCACACGAACAGGACACATTTGTTAATAGCTATAATGTTTAATTTGATTATATTGGGGTAAGAGGTTCCCGCCTGTCGCCTTATTACAAGACAGATTTGAAGGGAAGATGTATTTATTTTTTCTTCTTTACTCCCGCCCTATAGCAGTCTCTCCTGAATTCCCGTATTTGATCGAAAAAAATCTTACTTCCCTGCAATGCCATTGGAGGTGTCATGTTATAAGTACCCCATTGTTTACATATACCCCGTCATTAACACCGAGTTTCAAATAACATACGACCTGTTATCCCTTACCACTAAGGTCTTCCTTACCGGGTTTCAGGCACGGGGAAGCCCTGGGCCTCGCAGAAGACGGAAACACTAACGCCGCTGGGTTTCACCACCGACAGGACAGTATTGATGCGCTCCTCCCACGTGAATTTTGGGGCGGAGAATCCCACGGGCTCTGCAGGTGGGGAGGGCATAAAGGGGCTGGGGGAGGGGGAACCAGACTGGAGACCAGAGCCAAGAGCCCCAACTAAAGAGTGGTGCACGTGTCAACTGATTCGCCGGAAATGGAAGCAGGTGTGTGTGTGCTTTCTTTGCCATCTAAAAGGCCTTCTCGTGTAAATGTCTTCGTGCTATAGCTTGATTCGTTTTCTAAACTATCTTCTCCCTACCGTAATCTCCTGGAAAGGACGAGAAATGCCACGATTTAACTGCCCTCATTAAGGACATTCCCTCACAAGCTGATCCCTTACCGGGTCTCGGGGACGGGGAAACCCTGAGCTTCGCAGAAGATGGAAGCAGTTTCTCCCTGAGGTTTTAAAAGCGTCAGGATGGCGTGCACGCGCTCCTCCCACGTGAACTTGGGTATTGAGAATCCTATTGGATCTGCAGGATGGAGGGTTGGAGTGGGCGTGTGGGCAGGATAGAGTCCTGCCTGATGTTGGCTTACTTAGTCGTATGATACAGCTTTGTTTCTTTTACGTTTGTCTTTACAATGCGTGAGCGTGTGCGTTCGAGTGTGCGTGTGCGTGTGTCTGTTAGCGTATTCGTTACAGAAAGAGGAACAAAATAAAAAGAAAAGAGAAGGAAGACGATATCCCATTCCTCGACGTAACCAGAAATCAATATCCAATCAGACGAGATCTACCTCAACACCAATTAATCAGAAAATAAGACCTAATTAAACATTTCCGGTGATCGGCGCACAGATGGTCCAATTAGCGCGCGCTAAAGGGATCTAACGAAGACTCAGCAAAAGTTAATCAGAGCATCCCGTCATCCGAGATCTACAGAATAACTCCCACGACCACGCTCAGCCACCGAGGCAAAGCAACAGCCATGGGATTTTGAATTTGGCTGCCAACATCTTAGTGTCTTGCCGCGATGGAAATCTACGGATACATGAGCCCACGTTTCACTATATGGTCTAAAGGTATTTCTCTTGCGAACAACTTTCTAAAATAAGAAAAGAATAATATGGTGAATTGGTTTCAACCTTTCAAGCGCATCTGTTCCTATGACCCAATATCGTTTTACGCCTCATTAGAATAATATCCATGAAACGATCCAGCACGACCAACCAATAATACGAGTGTATCATTTGCGAAAAAAAATCAAATATGAACGGGGGTTGCCGCCTTTTCCCTTATTCTAATGACTTTCATATCTTATGACGAATGAGCACTCTATCAGCCCATATAAATGCGCATGTTTCAACGAAAGCACAAGCATATTACCTGGTGACTGGCGGCGGGTTGGCCTGAGCTTGACAAAACAGCGAGAAACTTGACCCAAAGACTCTGTCAGTTCCCATCCGATCTCGACTGGCGAGCTGGGGCGCCGATAAACCCACGGGATCTATGTCAAGCAAGGAGGAATGTTGGGACGGGGTCAGTGCATCATGACAGCATCATGTGCAGAGGGTGGCCTTTGTGCCAGACCATGTCGTGACGAAGGGTGGAGCACCATGTTGGGATGTGGCTAACTGCTTTTAACAAAGCGTGACCCTAATGTGGTAATTTTGGTAACTCATATTTAGCCAACGCAGTGGCGGTTACTCATTCAACACCGATGAATTAAAATTCGCACACACTGAAATATATTATGTGAAGTAAGCGAATGCTTCAATGTTTCACGCCGAGGCTTCAGAGCTCATTTTGCTTGGTTAGACACTGGAGTCGCTCCACACGCCTACGCCTGATCTTACCTGAACACGGGCGTCGGGTGGGCCTGGGCTTCACACGGGAGGGAGAAGCTCGCACCTGATGGCTTCACCTTCGTCCTTGACACGTCTTCGCCAGGGAACTTTGGACCCGAAAGACCCATGGGATCTTTGCGACGAATGTTAGACATGAGGACGAATGAAAGGCTTTCGACGAGCACGAGAGCCTTGTGCCCATGCCCAGGAGAGAAAGACTGCCACGAGTGACGCATGACAACACAACTTGGAAGTGGATATGATAATGACAAGCTGCATGATAATATTACCTGAAGGCAGGGGCGGGGTTGGCCTGTGCCTGACAGAAGAGGGAAAAGCTGCTCCCTTCGGCCTTGAGCTTCCCGCGGGTGAAGTCTTCAGAGGCCAGCTTTGGCGCGGATAAGCCTACAGCATCTGAACCAAGGAGTACGAGACTGCCTCACTCAAAAGCTCTTTAACAATTTACCTTGTTTTGAGTATGACCTGAATGTTGGGTGAAAAGCCCTGACATATATTTAATTAAGTCGTAGCCTTACCAAGCTTAACGAAAAAATACTTCTGACGAACTGCTTCGCTGCAACAGTGGCGCTTCCTAAATTAGAACGACATGGCCTAATCTTCGAAGAGGCAACATCTAAGCGCAGTAAATACTCTGAATCACATGCCTACCTGAAGCGCGGCGTGGGATGGCCCTGCGCATTACAGAAGACCGAGATGCTTGTGCCCGAGTCCACCAAGGTAGTACGCGACACATCCTTGTTGGGGAAATTGGGAGCAGAGTAGCCCACGGGGGCTGACGGAGAGGGAGAGGGGACGGAGTGACAAAAACACCGCCACTTTTCAATAAAAAGCATCCTAAGGTGCCTCATAGGAACCCCCGCCGTCGTGCGTTATCATATGAAGGTAAGTATTATTTACGTGTTGGTAAGTATTAAGGCCTTCATTCAGTGTGCCCCATCCCTTAAGAGTCGACAAATCTGAGATGGAAGCTATACCACTATAACATAAGACTAAATTCTCGCAAGAGCAGAAGAGAAAGACGTTCCAGATAAACCCTCCCAAAAACCCGGGCAATCCTCTCTTAAAACATGAATAAAACTGCACCCACTGCAATACCACTGACATTGCCCTTATAAAAACACCTCCTTCGAGCCTGAAGACGAAGGCCGCATCCTCAAAGGAGTAGTCATTTACCTGAAGGACGGAGCGGGGTGCCCCTGCGCCTGGCACAGCAGGGGGAACGCCGAGCCCGCCAGCCGCCCTTGTGTGCGTGACAGGTCGATATTAGGGAATTTGGGCGCTGACAGTCCAACGGGATCTGGCGGGGCGTGGGTGAAATGGAGAAGAGGGAGGGAAGGAAGGAAAGTTGGAAGGGAGTGGAGAGGGAGAGAAGGAAAGCAGAAAGGGGGAATTAAGAAAGTACGAGAGAGAGAGAGAGAGAGAGAGAGAGAGAGAGAGAGAGAGAGAGAGAGAGAGAGAGAGAGAGAGAGAGAGAGAGAGAGAGAGAGAGGGGAGAGAGAGAGAGAAAGAGAGAGAGAGAGAGAAAGAGAGAGAGAGAGAGAGAGAGAGAGAGAGAGAGAGAGAGAGAGAGAGAGAGAGAGAGAGAGAGAGAGAGAGAGAGAGAGAGAGAGAGAGAGAGAGAATTACTTTCTTATTCACACATCTGTCTTAGGGTGGCAAGCAGCAGCGAGAAACCCAAATCTTACATAGGATCGTGACACCTTTTTCTTCACTTTCGTCAAAGGCATTTAATTCTCTCTCTCCTTCTCGGATGTGACGCCGGTTTAGATGTATCTACATTCCGAACCTATACTAAGTTCCTGTTTCAGATAAGTGAACACACAAGTGTCACATGAATAGCGATAACAGAATGAGTACCATAATACATACCAAGAACAAATAAAGATAGAGGAACAGACCTCACACAGACGTAAAAAATCGACCTAATGACAAGCCCCGCCCTCACTCTCGCATGAACCATCCAGCAAAATCTATCTACCTGGAGCGCGGCGCGGGATTGGCCTGCGCGGGGCACAGGAGCGTGATGGCGGAGGCGGCGGCCCTCGAGCTGCTCCTTGAGGTGTCCGTCGAGGGGAACTTGGGCGCGGACAGGCCCATGGGCTCTGCGTGGAGATACACAATACCGCCATGGCAGTTTTTTCCGTGTCATTTTGTTCTGTTTCCCTCTTTGGAGGAAGGGAGGGTATGAATTCCCCGATGCTCTCTTTTATGTTTTGTTTTGCGCCGTTATGTTTTTAGGTTGTATTGATACAGGTAGACATAAGGTAGCGTTTTGTTTTAGAAGTTTCCGAAACAAGTTTCCTAGCTCCCTTAGTTATTTTTCAGCAATGCATCACCCATTTAGGGAAAACTGACACACTCCTAAGACTCTAAATATTGCACATACATATACATGCATACATACATCCATATGCACAAATACATACATACATACACAAGCACATACACACTATACCATCAATTACCTGTACGTTGGCGCGGGATAGGCCTGCGCCTGGCAGAAGAGCGAGAGAGAGAGAGAGAGAGAGAGAGAGAGAGAGAGAGAGAGAGAGAGAGAGAGAGAGAGAGAGAGAGAGAGAGAGAGAGAGAGAGAGAGAGAGAGAGAGAGAGAGAGAGAGAGAGAGAGAGAGAGAGAGAGAGAGAGAGAGAGAGAGAGAGAGAGAGAGAGAGAGAGAGAGAGAGAGAGAGAGAGAGAGAGAGAGAGAGAGAGAGAGAGAGAGAGAGAGAGAGAGAGAGAGAGAGAGAGAGAGAGAGAGAGAGAGAGAGAGA